TGTTTTCTCATCGATGATGATTCACGTAACTTTAAATCAACAGAAAGGCTATTTGTTCATTTATGGTGGAAAAGAAAATGGCTTTACTTTGGGGCATGTTTTAATCTTGATCAGAAGGATGAGAAGGATGAGAAGGATGAAAAAGAAATTCGGCTGACTAATTCGTGTTTGGGAGTGAGAAGAGATGTTAAATCCAAGACCTATCAGGTCACTTATTTGAAAGTCAACGCCATTGAAATCTACAAGAGATTAGATTATTGTAGTAGAAAGGCTTTTTTCAATCCGGAAATTAGTATATCATGTGAATAAATAGCAGGTCTAGTTTCACGTGTTAATCTCGAGACCGTATGTCGCGGTGTATAGTACCCCTCCTGTTATGGATATTTTAATGGTTCCTTTCTGTCAATCAATATATACGAATAAGAATAATGTATATATACAGTATATCTACCATTAAAATATCCATAACAGGAGGGACTATACACCGCGACTATAGTATACTGCAGTGTTGTCAATTGAACTTATCCAAATTCCCAATTGACAACACATGTACAATACCCACGGAAAGCATTGCACTATTTTGATATTATTTTATTATAAAAATTGTGCAATACTTTCCGTGAGTACTGTACCTTCAAACCCGATCATTGTTGTTAAACAGCTTGTCCATTGATAAGAGTCGCATCCTTTTATTATATCAGTTATTATGTGTTGTGATAAATGATATAATAAAAAAAAATATGTAACAATTATCAATGGACAAGCTGTTTCAACAATACTAAATGACGATCGTCATTTATCGTTTTCAATAATTCAGCTAAATACAAATGTATATGCATACAATAAATATAATTATGTCATTATATCATGTGGGTCATATGCAATGTAATATTACTATGAAAGATATTTACAGTAAATCAAACTAGTAATATTAATATTATATTATTGTTGATTTCTTTATTCAAGAAATATAGACATTGCAATCAAGCTATTGTTTTGAAATCTTTATCAATAGATTGGTTCTATTATTATCAGAAAATTAAAAAAAATATAAATAATAAAAAATATATACACTGTATATTTAAATTATCTAAATATTAAATCAAGTAAAATTACTTTAAAAAAAATTTATGAATTTTTTTAAATAGTACATCAAAAATACATCAAAAATTTTAAGGTTTTTCTATTTATTATTTATTATTATAAATAAAATAGATAAAAATCAATCAAATTTTAAAAAATTTTTTAAATTTAAAAATTAAAAATTTAAATATTCTAATATTTTTATAAATAACAAATACAAATTATTAATTTATATTAATAAAAAAAATTTTTTTTGTAAATTTATAATATAGTAGTTAGTACTTTACAGATCAAATTATAAGATATTAGTTTAATTTCAAATAAAAGCAATTAAATAAAATTAATATAATATTTGATATTATAATTTGTTAAGTATTGTTTTTTATAAAAAACTGATTTATATATTGATTTAATAAATATTAAAATTGTAATCTATTAAATAGAAAATAACAGTATAACAATTATCTAAATAGTATTATTCTTTAAATTATAAAGTATTTTTTTTTTAATATTTAAAAATTTTTAACTACAGTATTTTTTATTTATTTTTTTAAATAATAAAAATATTTTTCTAAAAATTTATACAATATTATTTTTAATTATATATTACTTATTAATAATATTTATTCTTTATTTATTTGATAAAAATTTAAAGTTTAATTATAAAAAAATTTTAATTTGTAAAATAATTTTTTTTAATAATAGTTGATTTTAGATAAATTTAAAAATTTTTTAAATTAAAGCTTATAAAATTAATTGTAAAAAATAATTTTAATTATTATAATTTTAATGATTTAATTATAAAAATTTTAACTTATATTAAAGTAAAATATTTTTTTACTTTAAATATATATTAAAATTTTTTATTTAATAAAGTTAATTAAAAATATCTTAGGCTATATTTTTTATAATATAAATAAATTATAAAAATTAATATTTTAAATTTTATTAAAATTTTAAATATGTAAGCAAATTTGCTTATATTATAATTTAAGAAATATACTTTTGACATATTGGTTAATAATTTAAATCTTTAATAAAGCAAAACTTTATATAATCAATATTACCAATCAAATTTTTTCTTTAATAATCTATTCTTGCATCTAATTGATTTGATATAATATATTTTTATTTTTATTATTATTTATTATATATATTATAATAAAAACTTAATATATTTATTTTTTAAATTAATTATTTATATTATAATATATATTTGTTTAAATATAAAAATAATATTAAAAAAATAAAACAAATTATTTAATAAAACTATATATATTTTTACAAATACTAACTATGCTATATATATCAATTTTATTAATTATTATAGATTATATTTTTTATATATAAATATCTAATAGTTATTATTAATTTAATCAATGTAATTGATTAATCAGATATATTAATTTACATTTTATGGATAAATTATAGATTTATATTTATATTTAAGTAAATAAATATTATTAGTTATTAAATTATAAAAAATATATGAATTTTATATATAAAAAAAGTAACAATATTTCTTATATGATTAATTAATTAATAAATTTAATACTAGTTTATTTATAATAAATTATTTAAACAATAAAAAGAAATAAATATTAAAACCAATACAATTTAAAACCAGTTTCTAACAACTATAAATATCTACTTAGAATTATACATATATAAAACTATTAAAAATAATAATAATAATAATAAAATTAAACAAAAAAAAAGATTTAAAAAAAACTAATTATAATATAAAAAATATTTAAATTATTAAAGATACTGTGATCAAAATCCATTTGATCCGTATCCGAGTGATAGTTTTTAGAAGGAATTAGAGATTATATAGAACAGTT